CAGGGACGTCTTTCTACTAAGACTACTATTTCTACTACGGCCACTGCTACTGCTAAGGATAATGACAAGCCACAATATTACCTAACGTCACCGAGCACTAAGTATGCGCCAGTCTGTGCTAAGCACTCACCGTGCATGGTCCCCATCAGCCCCCACAACAACTTGGCACACTGTCCCCATGTTACAGCCGAGGAAACGGAGGCACAGGCAGCTAAGCCAAAGGGCACTTGGTGGCAGGGTTCAAACTCCCACACAGGTGTTTCCACCCCGAGTCTGAGATACAACCACCAGGCTAAACTTTGGCTCCCGACTCTGGAACGCTGATTTATTTGTAAATCCAGATTGCCACCATCCCGATGGCCCGCAGAGAGAGTCAAGGGCCACTAATGCCCATGCAGATAGATCTGTCTGTAGTGTGAGGAGCTTGAGGGGAAGGCCACCAGTGCATCTGCAATGACAGAACTCCCATCTGCTGCAGGTACTTTGCGTCCTGTCTCCTGAGCGCGTTTCAGCCTAAGAGAATACAGAGCCGGAGCTGACTAGACAGAAATGATACAGTGCAGCCCTCAGTTTTTCTCGGTTTTGACACCTTCTGGTATGTGCCAAATTAGCAATAAATTCTGAGGAAAACCTCCGAGGGAAAGCCCCTCCTTCACGCAAACCAACTGATACTTTGCAAAGGAGGATTGTTGATTTTTTCTCCGATGCCACTCAGCTTTCCCATTCAGAAGGCTTTCACCGGAAAAGTCCGATTGGAATAGCAATTCGTGTTCTCATTTCAGGAAAGAAACAAAAGTTCATGGGGGCGCCTGGGTGGCTCAGTCCGATAAGCAGCTGATTCTTGATTTCGGCTCAGGCCATGATCTCAAGATTTGTGAGTTTCGAGCCCCATGTCAGGCTCTGCGCTGACAGTGCGGACCCTGCTTGGAATTCTCTCCCTCTCATCTCCTCTGCCTCTCCCCCCTATTTATTTACACAGAAATAAATTCTCTGTATTTCTCTGTCTCTCTCTCTCTGTCTCAAAATAAATAAAGAAACTTAAAAAAATTAAAAAAAAAAAAAAAAAAAGAAACCTAAGTCCTTCGTCTAAAATGGAACAAAGAATAGTGCAGTGAAAAGGGTACTCTAGAACCAGACTATTCCGGGTTTCAGTTCTGGCTGTTCCGTTCACCAGCTGTGGAATCCTGAGCTGGTTACTTGGAGTGCAGATCCCTCACCTGTAAAATAGGAATAATAATGTAATGAAGTACCTAACCATAAGCATGTACTTTGTGTCGGGTCCATGCACCAAGGCGACACGGCTCCAGACTCCAGGCCTTACCCCCTCCGGGTAGGTACAGTACATTTGAGTAAAGTGCCTGAGACAGCACAGCATACTAGTAAAACTTCATCAAGCAGTAGCTAGTATTTTATTATGCTTCAGTGTGAGTTATATTCTGTGGCTTTTAGTGAATTCCTTTTCCTGCTTTCATTTCCATCACCTAAAATGATAAGTTTCAACGGCACCTGGGTGGCTCAGTAGGTTGAGCGTCCGACTTCGGCTCAGGTCATGATCTCATGGTTCGTGGGTTTGAGCCCCGCGTCGGGCTCTGTGCTGACAGCTCGGAGCCGGGAGCCTGCTTGGGATTCTGTGTCTCCCTCTCTGCCCCTCCCCTGCTCACACTCCGTCTCGCTCTCTCGTTCTCTCAAAAGTAAATAAACATTTAAAAAAAAAAAAGTGTTAAAAAAAAATTACAAACTTCGAATGTAGTGTCTGTGTTAACTGTTCTGAATTTGTCTATGTGAAGTTCAAGGAAAGGGGAAAAAGAAAATGGGCACTAGCTGCCAGATAGAATTCCAGAAAAGTAGGAGACTGTTCTAACCTTGCCCGTCATTACTACAAATACAAATGTTTTCACCCACTTTCTTCATATGATTTTCATTTCGTCTGTTTTCCTGTGTCCATATGTCCGAGGAGATTTCTTTCCACATATTTAGCTATTATTTACTACTAGTAACGATACACTTTGCTCTGTACGCAGAGATAGTTTATAATAAGGCTGACATTTATTGTGTATCTACTTTCTGCTGTGCCTCGCGCTCCTATTTCACAAGAATCCTCTCATTTAATCCCCACAACAACCCTTCAGGAGAAGAACCATTCCCTTTTCCAGGGCACCAGACAGTTAAGCGCCTTGCCCAGCATCTCAGAGTAACCATCATAATGAGAACCGGAAGACAGTGATGCTAACAGTTACGGTCCAGTGAACCCTCTTCCTCTTTAGCCCTGGCCACACCTCCTTTTGATGTCAATGTCTGCCATGAATATGTGAATATATTATTTTGAGAAGGTTGAGAGCACTGGCCAGGACAGTGGATGGCGGCTGGGGGGGAATCAAATCAACAGTGGAGCTGACCATGTTGGCCTCAGGGCTGATGTACTTACCAGCCATCTAACCACTGCCATGGCCTCAGTCCTGGTCCAGGCACCATGCTATCTCTTGCCCCTGGACCACTGCCACCAGGTCCTTGCTGATCTCCCTGCCTTCTCTCTTGCCCCCTTCATCCACAGTGCCTTCTCCATCCAGCAGCCCCTGGAACCATCTTAAACAGCCATATGATCATGTCTCTACCCTGGTCAAAACCCTTCCATCGCTTCCTATCCTGATTTATAATGAGTGTATTAACAATCTGACTTAGCCATTAAAAAGGTCACTCTCTCTGCTGTGTACTGCGTGGAGTGTGGGCAAGAGTGAAGCAGGGAGACCGGTTAGGACACAGCCTGTTGCTATGGCCCAGGTGGACATCTTGGAGGCTTGAATGGGGAGCAGCAGTGGGGATGGAAACAGTTGAGATATATTTTGGATGGAAAACCCAAAGAACTTGGTGATGGAGTGCATGTCTTTATGCAGTGTTTTAAAACCTCATCGGAAACATTTACAAAGGTTGCTCTAGTTTCCCAAGATCATGGCCTTCCAAACCCATTGAAATAGAACAAATATATACTGACCTCCTACTACATATCAAGAACCATCCTAGGAATTTAAAAAGCACAACAAGGTTCTGTGCTAGGAATTTAGAAATAAGAATTTAGAAAGAAGGAATAAGGTTCCTTCCCTCAAAGAGCTCACAATCCAGTAGGAACAATAAATATAAAGACAAATTATAGTAGTGTAATCATTGTAACAGAGGAGCCATCCATAAGGCCCAGGGGGTGTGATGACATCAAGGTAGGGATTTAAACTTAGGAAGAATGTGAGTTTGAACATAAGGAGCTGAGAGTAGACAATTCCAGGCTGTGAAGCACGTGCAAAATTACACAAGTGTGAAACTTCCTGGTGTGGTCAGGGATTACGGGTAATGTAATGTGCAGATGCTGAGTGTAGACAGTCGAGCAGGGCCAGAGAATGAACAGGTTTTCAGGCCAGGTCAAGATGCTGGATTTTATCTCTATAGGCTACAGTTTCCCTGAGTGGATTTATATCACTGATGGCACACACAATCATCTTAGTGATGTACAGACAAGCGTATGTTCGTTAAACGTTTACGTATGTGTTTTCATGTGAGCCACGTAATATATAACTAGTGTATCGAGGCTATAATATAAAGTTTTCTTTCAAAATAAATGTATTTGTGTTAAATAAGTTAATTTAAAGGAAAATGCCAAGTAAACCATAGAATAGGTGGGCAGATACAGGATAGATCATGAAAGTGGAATGTGAGTGGCCAAAGTTTGAGGCTCCCTTCATGTAAACAAGGGAGACCCACCGAAGGAGTTTCATCAGGGAAAGGCGTGATAGCATCTGCAAATGGTGGGCCGCATCTCATGGCCAGGAGGGGGATGAAAATCATTCTGGGTGTCCTTGACACCCATTAAAAGTGTCCTCTACCACTGTCCATGGAAGCAAAGCTGTGGGCTGGGACTGAAATCGTGAGGGTGTGAGGGGTAGAGACTGAGCAGAGTGATGAACTTTGCAGGAAGTAAAAATCAGCTGCACTTGGCAATGAAGGAGTAAGGAGGAGGAAACAGAAGAACCCAGGGTGACTCCTGGGTTTCTGGCTTAAAGATCTGAGCACATTTTGGCCACCAGCCAGTTCTCAGAGCCCCTGAAATTTGTCAAATGGTATAAATTTTAATTAGGTGCATTCTTCTTTATGTTCCAAAGCGGAAATTCTGTCTGATTCCAGGTGAAGTGAGGATTTGGAAGTTGTCCAGTTGATTTTTATAGCAGATAAAGCCAGTTTGGGAACTTGAGTATTTGAATGTTTTTGAGTATGACCAGATCTCTCCTCACTTGGTCCAGTAGAGCCTGAAAACCAGGGGCCTCACTTCCTTGATTAGTGTCAGTTTAGTGTGCGGCAATCCACAAGGCCAGCGGAGTAATTCGCGAATGAATTAGTAAGACCACTTGTAAAATCTCCAGATAGCTTTGAGTTATTCCTCTGTAATTCTTAACTCTCCTTTTATTTCACTTTTCTGTATCAAGATTAATTTCCATCAACAGAAGAGCATTTGGGGAAAGGGGAGAGGTATAGGGAGAACTTTCTATGTTGACGTGAAATTTCTTCCCTGTTAATATACCTGCATTTGACAGAATTAGAGCAAAGGTGGAGGGTTGGGGGCGGCTCCTGGCTGAGCCTCTACATGAGGCATAGGGGCTGGTTGTAGGATTTAGCCTTCTTTTTTTTCTCTCGTGCAGCTTTGGCAGGAGTTTCCCTATCTAATAGACTTCCAGCACATACAAAAATTATGTCTCCATGTAACATTTTCCAAGGTGCTTTCTGGAATCAATCAAAGAATATTAGTCAAGTGTGAGGAGGGGCCACAATTCCTTCTGGGAATGGAAGCGAACTTTGGCTTGCTGTTCCTTATCCTCAGTCACACAGCGCCAAAATCTGTGTTCTTTTTCTGAGCCATGTGCATTTCCTCGTTTATGAGTACCAAGCTTCACGGTCAAGTGAATTAAACAGTGCAGTCGCTCAAGCATTAATGCAACTCTGGTCTTTTTCTTTTTCCTTAGGTATTTATGGGCCATCGGTAAGAATGTCTGGAAGAGATGGAAGAAGAGGTTTTTTGTATTGGTCCAGGTAAGTCTTCAACTTTGTCTATCTTAAGAGCCATCAGTATTAAAGATTTGGATTAAGGATTAAGATTAAGGATTAATTAATGGTTTTTATTTGAGGTATAACTTAGAGCGCACAGTGCTCAAGCAGTTAGCTTAATGGCTTCTTACCCATTGTATAAGCATGTGACTACACTTCAGAGGCACATTGAAATTTCCGCTACCCGCAGCACTCCCTTGTGTTGCTTTTCCCTATTTTTACATCACTTTAAAATTAGAAAAATTAAGGCATGCTCGTTATTTTAGAATCCTCGAATGCAGGAATACGTAAGATAAGTGGGAGAGGTGAGCTGCCCGTGATGCAGGGCCCCAGGGAGGAAGCAAGCGTGTGCCTGGTTGGGCCATTAGGAACACTGACATTGTTTTAGAAGAATGTGCTATTTACAAAAAAAGAGTCAGAATTTACTTAGACTTTTGACATCTCTTTTACTGTTTGGTATGTTTGATTTTGAATTCCCTGGTGTTTGGGGGTGGGGGGAGTATGCCACTCCCTTGGTTCGTAGGGCTTCCAAAAGTCTTAACTGACCTCCTTTAACTATGTTTAAAAGTCTGGAATATATCTTTCCAGATATATATATATATATATATATATATCACCAAACTCTGTGTCATCCTACAGCTCGCTTTTTGTTTTTTTAACATAAATCACTATAGACATTTTTCCACGTTTGCATAGATAGCTCTGGCTCACGTATCTGTAGAATTTTCCTTTTTGAAGGACTTGTGGGCTTCCCCAATTGGAACTATTATTAACCATGCAGCAAGGAACATCTATCTATATATAGATACAGATGTGGATGTAGATATTGGTATTAATAATACATGAGTAATGTATAAATAGTACCTTTGCTCTCTTGTCTATTTAAGAAAAAATGTCCAGAAATAGTGCTGCTTGTCCTTGATAATCTCCCCGCCCTTTTTAAAATTTGGTTCATCTGCTTCTTGCGTCAGGATTTTTCAGTTTATAAGGGCACCTGCCATTGCCTCTTTGTAATTTGCGGTCTCCACCAGAGCATATACACTGTAATTTAATTTGCAAAAAAAAAAAAAAATTCATATATGCTGTATTCTGGAAGATGCCACAAAGCAAGGCAACTTGTGGTTTAGTGACTAAAAGTGTTCATGGGGTTACTATGTTCACTACAGGCATTAACTAGTATTTAGAGCCATTCCAATTCTAAATCTTAACTATAAAGCAACTGCCTCTTAGGCCCGATGGCCTTGAAGGTTCTACCAACCCTGACCTTCTAAGATGTGACTTCCTGTAGACCTAGTCAAGTCTCTGCTGTGCTACTATGGCAAAATGCATCTCTCTGGCTATAAGCAAGAGGTCATTTTTGCTTTTGTGGTTGCTATGGGGTAGAACAAAATCTTAGAATAAATTAGCCCAAGGAAAACTTTGGAATTGTGCCCAAACTCCTAAATAATCCATAGCTAGGCAAGGAGTATATTTCATCCTGAGATACATTTCTTCAAACTATCAACTGACCAGTATTTATTGAGCATCTTCTCTGTGTAGGGCACTTGGTAGGTCATAGAGAAGAACTATGAGGCCCGATCTTTCACTCCCAGAAGGGAATCTGTTAGAAGTGCTTTATATATGCAAACAGCAGAAACAGACCCAAGCTAATTAAGGTAATAATAACAGGATGTTGAAAAAGCTGAATGAGCCATCCTTACTACGACAGGACCCAGAGCAGTGCCAGAAATCCAGGTGGAGGGAACCCTGGCTGTGTCATCAATGTGGTCCTAAGACAAAGTCTGCTCTGAACATTTTCTACCCTTGTATCTCCAGTCAGTGGCCGAATATGAAAGAGAGATCAGTTCAGCTTGGGTCACACACCCAGCTCTTAGCAGGGGCAGGCCGTGGCACTTTGATTTAACAGTCCCACTGGGCTGTCTCCAGTGCAAAACCAGGATGCCATGACCAGAAGGAGAAATGGATGCTAGCTAAGCAAAAACATCTGGTGTCCTCTCTAAAGAGAGGGCATTATAAATGGAGAGACAAAATGCACCAAAAAATACAGTGCAAGATTATGGACAGTTCTCCCCCATCCAGCGCTTCTCGCTGGGCAGAGCGGCCTTTCTTGGAATCACTTGTGAGGTTGCCCGGCCTTTCCCAGTAGATTATGTGCTGTCTCAGGGCTGGTTTGGTTTCCAATTTATCTTTGTGTCCTTCCCTCTTTCCCCCGCCACACACATACACATCGTCTAGCTCAGTACCTGGCGTGGGCATCCAGGACATGTTTGGTGGAATAAAGAAGGAAAAGAAAGAGAGAGAAGAAGGACCTAGGCTAGGCTTCAAGTGGTTCTGAGAAAGGAAAGATCAAACGGCCTGGAGAGTGGCCGGTGGCAGCTTCCCAGAGGAAGCGGGACAGGTGGCCCTCTCACCATGATACACAATCTCCCCTCCTCCTCTGAGCTATTGGTCCACTGGACACATGACTTTTCTCTGAAAATCTTTGAAATGATGACGTACTTAGGAGAAATGGCTGACCTCTCGCTTTGCAAGCGATTTCAGAGGGAAAAAAACTCTTCAGGAAAAAAAAAACACGAGGAAATGTGCCCAAAATATCAGTGAAGCCTGTCTGTACAATATGTACTGAACTGAAAAGGAGAGAATGATTGTGTTAGGCGGTATAACTGGAACACAGACATCTCGGGGCCTTCACGCTGAGCTTTCTACCACGAGAAGACATGAATCGCACAGTCGCTAAAAGCCAAGTTCCGCGCTCACATGTGAAAATCAGCAGAGGGCATACATAGCCCGTGTAAAGTTCCACATCTTTCCTGGACAGCTGAAGAGAACACTTTCGGGATTTCAATAGGTTTCACTTACACATGATTCTCATAACTTTCAAGAGCCATTGAGGTGCGTTGGGGATGTCGATCGTCCAAACATAACCTTCAGTTCCAACTTAAATCAGATTCCTCCCTTAACAACCTCTGTGGCCAACACAGGTGACATGACAGCCCACTGTCACAGAGCCCTGTTCACGACAACAATGTCTAAAAGCAGTTTGATCCTACCTAGAAAATATTGCATTGTCTTTGGATTCTTCCCACTTTTTCTCCTCCGTTGTCTAAGTGACCACATTTGCAAGTGTTTTATCACAATGATAACCCAAAAGCTCACCCCCTTTGAAACAACCCCAGTGCCACCATAGTTGCAAGAGCGCCAGGTCTGGCCCAGTTCAAGGGAAGCAAAATCTCTGAGGCTGCTGGAAGAGAAGGATGATGGGACAAGTAGTAACAATCAGCACCCAAGAGCTGCATGCCATGTTGATTTCAGTCACAGGTATAAACGATCACCAGTTTCTTTTTAGCCACCAAACCCTGCCATCGAAACTCAAAATGCAGAAGGGAAACCAGGAGAACCCACTCTGGCCAAATGTGGGGATGGGTGAAGGAGCTGGGGAGGGAAGCAGATTCCCCTCAGCCTGCCCCCCACTCCCCAGGCAGCCTTGGAACAAGCTTCAAGGACATCAGCGTGCAAACCACACATAGGAAGTATATGCTACTCGAGTGACTTACTGAATATTTCTTCCTTTCTACTCACGTTAGGTCTCGGGAAGTATTTTTACAGAGAGTTTGTAATACATGATTCCCAACACAAATATGAATTCCATTAAATTTAATTTCAAGGAAAACAGTGCGGAAAACCTAAGAGGAAGAGAACACACCCAACACCAGTCTCCTCAAAATCCTCTCCCCTCCCACCCCCAGCTCTCCTCCCCCCCCCATCACACATACAGACAAGCACATAGAGTCTACGTTTTTGTCTGTAATGAAGAACTATTAAAATTCGCCCTAAATGAGATTTCCTTTTAGTGTTACTACTTTGGGGGAACCAAAAGATAGATTGTAAATGGACTTCCTACTAGCCAGGGACAAAGGGTATCCTCAGAGGGCTTCTGTACCAAAGCAGCGATTCCCATTTCTAAGGACTGAGACTAAAATCAGAATGGATGTGGCTGGACGCTGCCCCCAACCTGGGGAGTTCTGTGCCACAGACTTAAGTCTTCCTATGCAATGAGATGGTGTTCTCCAGTACAGGCCCAGACCACCGGCCCTGGGTACTATTTAAAATCCACATCCCAGAGCTCCTGGGTGGCTCAGTAGGTTAAGCATCTGACTTTGGCTCAGGTCATGATCTCACCGTTCATGAGTTCAAGTCCTGTATCAGGCTCTGCACTGATTGCTCAGAGCCTGGATCCTGCTTCCAATTCTGTGCTCTCTTCTCTCTCTGATCCTTCCCCGCTCATGCTCTGTCTCTCTCCCTCTCAAAAATAAATAAACATTAAAAAATAAAATCCACATCCCAAGTGCCATCCAGAAGGTTCTGATTCAGTAGGTCTGGCATAAGACTGGGGAACTTGTGTGTTACAAGCACACCAGGAGATACTGTTGCTGGTTACCCAGAGACTACCTTTAAAGAATTATTGCCTCAGTGGTCGTTGTCCTTTTTAAAGCAAAGGCTCCTGGGGTGCCTGGGTGGCTTAGTCGGTTAAACGTCCAGCTTCAGCTCAGGTCATGATCTCACAGCTCATGGGTTTGA